ATGATGATGATGATGACGACAACGATGATGATGACGATGATGATGGTGATTGTGTTACAATGAAGATGAAGATGGAGACAGCGATGATGATGATAATGATGATGGGGATGATGATGCTATGATGATGGCGATGGTGATGGCGATGATGGTGCTGCTGGTAATGTTGCCTATCATAACGATGATTGCGATGGTGGTGATGGTCGTGATGATGTACAGAGGTACAGTGATTGCGAACAAGGGCATGGCTGTGTAGATGCCCACAAGTACGGACGTGGGCGACTAAAAACGATAGACGAGTTTGCATTGACGTTGACAGCTCCGTGCCTGCATCTGATGTTGACGACGGAAATGGTACTGTTTTGCGTGGTGGTGGAGTTTCATCGTAATAAATATATCGTGTAGTGGCCTACGTGATGATAAGGAGAACCACTGACAATGAAAACACTAATGCCTGTGAATCTTTGGCTCTTGAGGCCCGATCTGCTCGACACCGCCAGTCGATGTCGAGTAGATCACCTGCAGCCGAAGTCGTGGGTTGAGAGCAGCGGTTTTAGGTTCTGCGCACGTCTGCTTCGCACTCCTCAGTCCTAGGGTCCGCGAACCACTCTACACGAACAACACCGATCCAGAAGGAAAGTCAAGTCCTAAAAACCAAGACCCCGAAGACCCGAAGCTCCGCACCCAACGGACACCGTTTAGACGAGCCACGAAGTGGTTGAAGGATCCGGCGGCGATGCTCGACAAAGCGACCTCAGAGTGGAAGGGTGCAACCTGGCCTCAAATGGGGCTTCAACTTCTAACGCAGAGGTCACGGAAGAGGAGTGGGCTGTGCACGGGATCGGTGCCTCCAGATTTGGGCCTTCAGCCTAAAACAACATCTAGCTCGAGAAGTTGATCGGCGAGCGCCACCGAGCTCACTCAGGCTTCCACCGAAGTGGAGCTGCCAACGACAACCACGCCGACCTCTCACAAGCGAGGAAAAGAAAAAAGTGGGAAGCTTCCCTCGGGTCTGGGCCGGTTTAGACAGTAAAGACACGTGCTGCAACTGACGGATGTGGTGATCAGGCGAGATTCTATGCTGAGAGCAGCTGTTTACTGACCTTGTGGCTTGGACCTCCTCGCACGTCAGCTGCGGATGCTACTCATCACCAGCCTGTGACCGGTCCTGACCCGATGCGCTTGTGGCGAGGTACACGGCCTCACAACACTTTCGGAAAAAAGCTGCAAGACCATACAGCTGGATCATGCGTGGTCATGCCTCTAAACGCTACCGTTCTCCTGACACATGCGGTATGTTATCTGCCAGACCATCTTTTCCAGGACCCAATGCTTGGGACCCCAGCCTGCATCAGTATAACTGATGGATCATTTGTGCTTCTTGCCAGTGCCCCCCGATAAAACCCGACTATCTACACACCAACATTGATAAGAAGCCCTATGCCCTATGCACACCGACTCATACTCACGCGTAAACGCTCTCTTACAACAGCTTGGACCGGCTAGGCCACTTTTCGCTCTACATAGCAACATACTTGTCATGATCTCGGTGCAGGGCGTATTGACTGAGCAGCGCTTCGCCGGCAGATGGAAAATTGAATCGAACACTGCCTGTCATGCTCATTGGGCTCAGGCCTTGGGGTTCAAACTTGAAGCTTTCGTTTGGGGTTCAAGCCTTTGGAAAGATCTATGAACAACCGCCGGCCTGTGAGAGTTCCCAAGTTCAGATCCTCTCCGGCAAACTGCACGGACTGTACGCGGCCGTCCAAATCTGTGATGGCGAGGCTTGTGGGAGTCTCTTGCCTGCAACCGGATCAGAAACAACTGCTGCAACGTCATGACCAGAACTCTGGACATTTCTTCCTCAACTCTTGCCAGGCGCCCCCAAGACAGCTGGGTCGAAGGCTCTGCTGTCAACGAGGCAACGTAGAGCAACAGGTAGCTGGAAGCCTGCATGGTTTTTCATCATCTTCGCAGCAGGCTCTAGCCAAAGAGAGTTTGCGGTCTGCTGCGCCAAGAGATTCCGCGAGACTGCAAGGATCGCACTCAACCATTGGGACCCGGGCGCTTGACAGGGTGGTCTCCGGCACAGAAAAGCCTGCAAAAAGATCAAACTGAAGACTCCTCTTATGTATCCCGGGCGCAGATACCTCGTCAGGCAGATGCACGACTACGACCCATGCGGCCGGCAGAATAACTTATCCACGAAGGAGCGGGGCGCGGCTGATGAAGCCACTGTCAATCTACGAACACCACTGCAGGGTCGCCCGACCTTTTGAATTCCCTCGTAGACCAGTGGACGACTCTGCGACCGCTACTGTAGGGGCTTTCGCGAGTGCCGAAGAAGCTGACGTGAAGTCGCACAAGGCAACGTGTCGGGTGGCAGTGTGCGGGATTCTCGAAATTGATGCCACTGCTCCGAGCTGTATGCTTCGTGGTCTTCGTGTTAGGGCCAGAAACCGGAATGGATTGCCGAAGCCTTCGATATACGTGCTGCATGCTTGAACGTTTTTATTCGAGCGTGGACATCGGATCTCGATGAAGCATGCTGGACTGCTGGTCCGGATGGCTTATTCTGATTCCCGGCAACAAAGCTCATATCATTGGCTTGAAGCCGGCTCCGTGTCCATGGAATAAAGGGGCATTGACAAGAAAGGCGCAAAGCGGAGATCAGTATGACGAGCTCATGTTGAAGCACATGTTCGTGGACGATGGCCTGTGCGCCGGTGCGGGATCCATGGAATATGCATGCCGGCCGTGTAAGACCAGTCGAAGGCCTTCCCTGGGATAGGGAGACAATCAGCTTGAGAGCCGAGAAGATCTGAAGTTGAAACGCACGAAGGAGCTTATGTTTCTGGGACTTTTGGACAACCTTGTTCCGCCCGTCGTCGCGCCCACACCGGGATCTGCAGGTGGAACACTCCTGCAATATGCCCAGGCCACCACGTCCAAATGCCAAGGACGACTGTCCAACCTGCAGCCGGAGTTCCTAGAGTGCTGGCCCGCTCCAGCCGCACCTGTTGAAGGACGAAGCGGCATGTCCACCGGAGGCACGACTAGAATGCCAGTCGCGGGCCAGGGTCGTGGGCGAGGGCAGCGACGTTGGCATTTGTTACTGCGACCATACATGTTTTACACTACAGCCAATTTACCCGATTTTATGCCTACCCCCTCCTATGCCAGGATGTTGGTATGCCGGGGACCCAGCTCCCGTCGATGGCAGAGACGGAGCCCAAGAGCGTCCTGGGACGCCGACGGCGTCAGGCAGCTATCCCTGACTGTGAGTAACAAGACGCATCCGAACAGGGCTCACCGTGTTGAGGCTTATGACTTATGATGTGTACATCGACAAGTGTTGGGAACCCACACAACACCCCATAACAATCGGCATGGAATCCAGCAAGAATCGAAGAACTGAAAACTTGTCACGCAACTCCTTGGGAAAGGTCTCATGTCTACAGCGAGACTGACATGACACCCAAAGGACATCCGCAATTCTCAGAAGAGACCGCATAGAACTTTCCAATCACAATGGCGATGACTGGCATACTCACAGGACGTGCAGATCACCGCTAGAGGAAGTCCAAAAATGTCAGCTTGCGGTGCAAACCTACTCAACCGGCTTGTCGATTCAGCCTCACGTTGATCAGCCAAACTTATCCCGAAGCAGCAACTGCATAGACAATGCAACGGGTCCTGCTGGTCCCGGCAGCATCGCTGGCGACCTATGCACGACATGTCTGCAGAAATCACGAGCTTCCTTCCGGGGTTCAGATTACATTGCAGTTACACTGGAAGAAAGCAACAACAGCGCTCTGCCTCGTCTGCCCAGTGCCGAAGCAGCATACTAAGGCCAGCACATAAATGTTGATGCCATCTACCTGGCCACAAGCAGTAAGCTTTGTGGGCAGAGACTGTTCCAAACTCGGTGGCCGTTCGTGACGCATTTTCGTGACAGTGCTACCTGTTGGTCACTTACGGGTTACCATTCTGGTGAGCATATTGCCCGGCCTCGGTTTCGTTCAGCGGCGTCCATGCAACGGTGCCCGAGATGTGAAGGGGATCCTGAGGCAGGCATCGTCTTCATAGCTTGTAGTACAGGGGCTCAAAGCTGCGACTAGAATGCCGATGGGCAAGGGACTTGCTAAGCTCAGCCTGCAAACGTCAACATCCAATGCCCCTCCTGAACTTTGCAGAAGTAATCTCACTTGGCTAACTTTGAGAGCTGGACTGGGTCAACATCCGTGAAGCTCTCACCTTCGACCTGCACAAACGCTCTGGCTAATCAACTTGTGCAGCCTGCTACCAAAGACCTCACGCAAACCAACATGAACAGGCTACCCAACATCATTGCCAGTGCCCCGCAGCCACTTTCCCGGCGACCTCCTAAATGGCCACGAAATGCTTCTGACAAGTCCCACAGCAAGGTCCTTTAGTGCAATGTTGTCCAAGGTCGGGGTACCAGAAGTTCCAGGTTCGAAAAAGTGCAGGGGCGCAGGGCTTCGGACTCGCTGAGGTCAGAGCCGTGTAGTTGGCGAGACTTCCGTCTGCTGACATCCTTGTATTTCAGAACCAAGCTCGTGTGTCGAAAAGCTCAGATACATCGGATGAAGCCGTGATTCAACCGCCTCCAGCGCACTTCAGGAATTATGCACTGGCCGTAGCCCGGATTCTTGTTCAGAATCTGGGCTCGGGTCCACTCCACCAACGATGCGAAGATGGCAATGTAGAGCCATGTACGCCTGCATCGCCGACACGTGTAAAAGAAGTGTGCTCGCATCGGGTCATGCTTAGATGCGAGGCTCGCCTACATGGGGACAGCATGCAAACACACGGCAAGAGCAGGCAGGCACGCTCGTGGGTACTCTAGTACAAACTGCGTGTCGCCCGGTTGTTGTGCCGCCTTGGAGCACCATGTGACGAAGCCCACATCCGCGTCGCTGCAATTGCAGCAAGGCGGGAGCACATCCAAAGCCATGAATGCAACAATCAACAGCCTGCTGCTAGAGTTGTGACTCCGTTACTGAAGGTCTGCAACATATGCTGAAAGTCTGATCAATGAGTATGCTGTAAAGTATATAAAGTCTGATGCCAGTACTGCGAGACAGTTGGCCGGCCGTCTTATGGGAATGCTCGAAGAGGGAATAAATCTTGTAATCAAGGTCTACCCACAGCCTCGGAACCGAAAATGGGGCAAAGAAAAGCGTTGCATGCTTGCAGAGATTTGAAAGTTGTTCCTGATAGCTGGATCGGCAGGGCTTGCACTGCCCAAGCCTTCGATGTGGACCGTATGGTGAATGATGGAAGCAAAAGACAACGGAAGCTGCTCGTTTTTTCAAGGACGGTCCTGGCTCCAGGATTGTCGCGAGCTTGGGGATTGGCATGCCCAAGAGGTTTCGCGGGAGGTGGACGACGTGCTTCAGAAACTGGTGCCAGCCTACCTCCAACTTGTCCTGAAAAGTAAAGGATAGATGCCTCGTGATGCAAACCCCCAGAATCGCAACTTGGTCCCATTCCTCGTCCGTGAGCCGTCCAAGTGCACTAATCAACAGGAGTCGAGACTCCTCCGTCTGGTCTGCAATGGTCTCGGTGGGCTTCCAGTCAAAGAGGTAAAAGAAGCCGCCATGACGCAAACAGTTGACGCGGCCTTCCAAGTGGTCCCAAGAGAAGTGGTCGATGCCTTGGAAGGACTCGTAGGCACGCACAGCGTCGGAGAGACCAGGGTCATCTTTAGAACCAGGCTCGTAAGGCAACCCTTCATGAATGAGATCCACTCCCCCCATGTCCATGAAGATGGCCATCACGAGCATCAACGGATCCCGTGGATCAGAGCTCATCCTCAACGCCGTGGCCGCCTCAAAGTCCGGAGCTCGTGCTCGTCGCAGCAGCTCAGTTGGAAAGATCAGTGCCTCGGGAACGACTTCCGTTTGGCAGCCGACGGACATGAACTGGTGGCCCTGACATGACCAGGACAGTCCTGAGGGAGGGCTTTCCACAACATAGAGCCAGTCGGAGGTCACAGCTTCTCGAAGACTTCGACGCGCAAATCGTTCTGCGAATTGCTCCAAAATACTTTGCAAGCGGGCGGAATCCGATGGCACAACCAGAAGAAGCATGTCGGGAACACGCCTGCCGTCACGAACTTGGTACAGCCGTGCCAGGGCATGCTCGAGCAGCAGCCACGTGCTGCTCTTGCCCCCAGGATTGAACTCCTCGTCACATGAACTGTAGACTGCCTGGTGGAGGACGAGATCCGTCAAGTTTCCCATGCCGCTCCCTTCTCCTGGGAGGGCCAGCCCACGCTTGCTACATGCTGTCGTAATGAGCTCCATCTGCACCATTTGGGTCGCCAAGTTATGCGGAAGGGGCATTACATCAGCCAGCAACCGACAAAGCGTTGGAGAAGGGAGAGTTGAGCTTGTGGAGCAAGGCTCCAGTTCATCACCGCCGTGGCATGCTGTGGGGGGAACGGCATAGCACAAAGTAAACATGGACGTGGAGAGGATATGTCTCTGATCTGCTAGATCCTTGAGTGTGGCATCCGTCCGAGCATACTCGTACACAGATCCGGCAGCGAGACTATCACTATCACCAAAGCCTTTCGCATAGCGCGTGAGGGCGTATTGTTCAAACACGACTGGATGCAGGGTGGTCGCGTGGTACAATGCAGCGGCTGGCTTCCAAGAAGAGGGAGCCAAACAAGAGATTTCCGAAAAAGCATGTGCCCAGCGCTTCTCAAGAATGGAGTCTCCGCCATTGTCTACCCGACGTGGTGAAGCCAGACGAGGAGTGTTGTAACAGACTTGGGGACCGCGTCTGTTCGAGTCTGCAAGTGCCAAACGGACACCATCCATGAGTAGACTGAAAGCATCTCTGCTGCCGCCAGCGAGGTCATACCGCAGGAAGTTGCGCACCTCTGCAATATATTGGCGTTTTTCCAGCTCCCCCTGGCTGGATAAATTCAGGCAGGAAGGCACCAAGCGACCCTGCCAGAAGTCTGCCTCCGAAACTTCCACCACCAGTCTATGCCAGTCAATCTCCCAAGGAAAAGGCAAGCTCCACTCGACGGGAGGCCCCTCAGCGCGCCACCAGCTCCTCCCACTCCCCAGGCTGGTTGGGAAGACGATCACCACCGGCAGGCAGCCCGACAGCAGCACGTCCAGGAGCCGCTTAATGCCTGTTCTAGCAGCTTTCTGAAAGCATCTCTACGCTCGAGAACGTGAAGCTGCCCCTGTGCAGATAAAGAGAGCAAGGATGAAGGCACGAATAGGTAGCCACGATGTTGACGAAGAAGAAATGATGACGGATTGGGGTCCAGGTTCGAGTGACAAACAGGGGAACCAACTGTGACCAATTTCGCAGCAGCATAGCTCAGACCCCAAAAGTGAAAGAGCGCCTCATTCCAGACCCTAGAGTCCGAAAAACCACTCTACGCCACACTGTGGAAGGAGCACGATTGCCAACCCAGAGCACGCACCACCCTGTGGTCCACCCCTAAATGCGCGTGGGACTGTAGCTAAAGCACGACTCTTGGAGGTGGAAGGCCATGCGTGTCTATGGGCAAGTACTACGGCCCTGCTACACTTTCGGGAGCTTTCCACCCAAGAAACCATCCATTTACACCCATCCATATACACCCGAAACAGGGAGCCAGATTCAGAAATCCAAAGTAGAGACCAATTACGATGATTCGCATGTTTAATGAGGACGGCACCCGAGATGCACTGGAAAGAATGCGACTGTAAGGTGCGGAACCGCGTGCCCGGCCGTCATGCAGGAACATCGATCCTGAACCAAGCTTCTTTACTCCCAACATGAAGACCCATAGTGTTACCATGCGGTTACGGGAACTACAGCCGACAGTCTTCATGGAACCGTCGGCTCAAGCCAGCGCATGGTTTTCGTGCCTCCAGAGGTCTCGCCAGGGGGGACCGGGCAGAAGGCCGCTTGCTGAATTTCCTCAGTAAACTGCCGCGGTGCAGGATGGTCTTGCAATCGCTCCTTGGATGCAGGTCAAATCTTCGTGAGCGGCACCCTTGTGCTGAGTTCATGCATGGATGTATGATCGGGACGTGAGGGAAGGCTTGAGAGTGGCGAGCACGAGGGGCTGAACCAAGAACACTGTGCTGGTGCTACCGGACAATTAGGACTGCGAGGATCCAACCTGTGGATGACCACTCGGCCTGCTCGGAGAAGTTGTCCTCCATGTTCGGCTTCCTTGTAAAAGCTGCTGCAATTCTGGGTTGCGTGAGAGCTTACACACTGGACAAATCCTCGCTGCTCGTCTACCTACCTGACCTGACGCAGACTGCGGATTATCTCCCGGCCTCACACCTTGGGGACTGACGGGAAGAAGAATGCAGAGCCTTGTACGTGCCTCTCGCTACTGAGATGTTCTTCGGCACACTGAGCGTTGCTTAGGTGGCGGGATACATTAGGACTCAGGCCGGCCGACACACCGGTTGCTGTCACGCTGTCTGCTCACACGGCAGACGACGTAGACTTCTAGTTGGAACATGCGACATCCGGCGGCTGACTTGCAGATGAGGATCAAAGAGTGTCGCGTCGAACTGCTCCAAGAAAGCAAAAAGCGCCCGTCTGTAAACATTTGTTGGAGAAGCAGCCAGCCAAAACAAAATAGGGAAATTCGAGGTGCGGCTAGGCAGATCAAATTGTGCAACGACATTTGTTACGGCACTGGGGGACACCAAATGGCCCGGTGGACGACCCCATGTCGTTCCATGTGAAACAAGAAGAGGTTGCGCCTGCAGCTGCAAAGGAAGGCTGTGAATATCGGCCGTCGCCAGGAACAGGTGGCGATGCCGAGTGGCAGGCGAATAATGCCTTGCTTCTCCAAGAACCAGGACGTATGATTACACATAATCTTGATGCCCGTACAACAGTTCCAAAGCTTGCATCTTGCCCGAGCCAGGCGCACCAAAAGCGAAAAAAGCTCTGCTGCCTGCTTGTTATTCCTCGCAGGACAGCGAAACATATGTCCACCGAGGAAGCAATCCTCAGCTAACAATCTCGCCGTCGTAGTAGTAGCAATAGCAGTAGCAGTAGCTGTAGCAGTAGTTGCGGAAGAAGAAGAAGTAGTAGTAGTAGTAGTAGCAGCAGTCGTCGCAGTCGTAGTAGTAGCAGTGGCGCCGGCGGAAGTCGTAGTGGCCGTCGTCGTCGTCGCAGCAGCAGTAGGTGTAAGTACAGTGGCAACTGTTGTGGCCACGTCGTCGTCGTAGAGTCACGATCGCGGTAGCACGATACATAACACTACGACTACCACTACCGCTACCGCCACTACCACGACCACTACCACCACTACAAAAACTCTTACAAATACTACTACTACTACTACTACTACTACTACTACTACTACTACTACTACTACTACTACTACTACTACTACTACTACTACTACTACTACTACTACTTACTACTTACTACTTACTACTTACTACTTACTACTTACTACTTACTACTTACTACTTACTACTACTACTACTACTACTACTACTACTACTACTACTACTACTACTACTACGCTTCTACTCCTGCTGCTGCGTCTGCTGCTACTACTACTACTACTACTACTACTACTACTACTACTAGTGCTGCTGCTGCTGCTGCTGCTGCTGCTGCTGCTGCTGCTGCTGCTGCTGCTGCTGCTGCTGCAACTACTACTACTACTACTACTACTACTACTACTACTACTACTCCTACTACTCCTACTTCTACTTCTACTTCTACTTCCACCACTAGTTCTACTACTTCTACTACTTCTACTACTTCTACTACTTCTACTACTTCTACTACTTCTACTACTACATCTTGCTCTTGCTCCTGACCCTGCCCCTTCTTCTCGTAGAGGGGTCACTTGTGACTTCTATTTTGTCTCACTTGTGACTTCTATTTTGTCTCGCTCGTGACTTCTCACTGTCTGACCTTGAAAAATCTTGAATTTCCATGAGTTTTGGACTCCCTCCCCCCACACATCCTGATGCCAAACAATCCGAAACAGGCGGGCGAGCCGCTTTGGCCAGATGGATGTTGAAGAACTAGCATCGCCAAATGAAGGTGCGTGTTTAAGATAGATGATGAAGTAGACGCCAAATGAGGGGGCATTTTTAAGATATATGATGAGCCGGACTCGCCGAATGAGGGGGCGTGTTTAAGATGTATTTTGAACAGGAAACGCCAAACGAGAGGGCGGGTTCAGTTCAACTGGAAGCGCCAGAAGGGGGAGGGGTGTTTAAGATATTTATAGGCCGCAATCGCCAAATGAAAGGGCGTGTGTAAGATAGATGTTGAACCGGAATCGCCAAATGAGCGGGGGTTTAAAGAATATGGGGAACCGGAATCGCCAAACGAGGAGGGCGTGTTCAATATAGGTGATGAAGCAGCATCGCCAAATGCCAAATGAGGGGGCGCGTTTAAGACATATGAGGAACCGGAATCGCCAAATGAGGGAGCGTGTTTAAGATTCGAAGATATATTTTGAACCGGAACCGCCAAATCAAGGGGCGTGTTTAAGACGTATGTTAGACCGGAATCGCCAAAAGACGGGGCGCATTTAGAACAGATGGCTCAAGTCTGGGCTCAAGTGGGTGGGAGAACGCACCAGCGCGTTTTTTTAGTTATGTGTAGCCGCCGCCGTTTTTAGACGCGCCATGGTTTCCACGCATGTGAGTGTTGGTGAATGCCCAGTCTGCTAGGAGCTTTCATGTTCGTGATACGTGTAGCAGTCTTGGACGCCAACACCACGCTGTTGAGTTGCTCGCAGCATATACGGAAGCCCTCTTTTGCACATGAGGGCGTCAAGTCGGAGGTTTACGGGCCCTGCCCTCCCGGTCACTCCTGCGGTGCAGGCGACAAACATTGACGGCCAAATCTCGGTACAGCCTGTGAGATTTGGGGGTTTAGGACGACGCAGGATGTTTTGCCAATGAGGGGTTATGTTTAAGATGTATGAGGAACCGGCATCGTCAAATGAGGGGCGCCGGCGTGTTTAAGATATATGCGTAACCACAATCGCCAAATGAGGGGGCGTGTTTAAGATATTTTTTTGGGCGGCCCTATGCAAAGCAAACACAAGTCAGCGTACTCACTGTGAGTAGGAAAAGAACGCGCTAGACCTGAGGAGCTTCTTGCACGTTGGCAGCCCCACTAAATGAAGCCAAGCCGGACGGTTAACAGCCAGCCTGTGAAGCAAAAGGAAGGCAAAAGGAAAACTAGGGGCGAGAGTGTGTTTAAGATATACGATAATAAACCGGACTCGCCAAACGAGAGGCGTGCTTCAGATAGATGATTAAGTAGCATCGCCACATGAGGGTGCTTAAGATATATGTTGAACCGGAATCGCCAAATGAGGGGTCAAGGTCAAGTTTTAAGATATATGAAGAACCGCCGTCACACATGATTTTCGCCGCCAAGGGTTGCAAAATCTTCCATCAGAGAAGTCACGCGGCGGAGAAATCACTAGTGATTCGAAGCGCTTTTGCCGAGACGTGCTGCAAGTTCGTGTGTCAGAGAAGTCAGCAATAAGCCAAAATAGGAATCACAAGTCACAAGTGAGGCGCCTTTCGGGCAAGGCTTGAGAAGTCACAAGTGAGACAAAATGGAAGTCACAAGTGAGTGGCCAACCTTCTCCTGCTTCTACTAGCAGAGCCACTGCTACTGCCATTGCTGCTATTGCCTATGGTCGACAATCATGACAATGCTCTCATCATGCTTGCATCACCGACAAACGGCCAGCCCGGCCAAGTACGGCACAACAAAGACATCAGCTTCTTCAGGACGTGCAGCTTTCACCTGTCACAGCTGAAGCTATGTGCTTTGTCCTATCGGCAGTTGCTACCGAGGTTCGCCGCAAATCACAGCCTGAAGAATGAAACTCCAAATCCCCTGGCAAACCACCGGACTCCCCAACCGATCGCTGCGATCGTGCTGCGAGCTCCGATTTCCGACACTGGTGGACTATTTCTACCAACCGCAACTTGCAACACGTTGGCCCACACTTGCCTGTGGGCAGGCAAGTCCGGCGATCAACTTCCGGAGGATGATGATCTCTTCTCCCCTCTGACGCGCCACAGAATATTTGAAAGCCCACCTGTGTCTGATCAAGTGAAACGCATGCGGCGCAAGCGCGAAACTGGAGCTCATGTTGCAGGCAAGGTTCCGATCCTCGTCGCAAGAGGAGAGCACGAAGTCGCAATTGCTCCCCGACGAAGTTGCCTGCTTCTCCAGCTCATCCTTGGCAGGAGCTTCACCAATTGCATGATTGAACCCCTTCCTCTATCGCCACCGCCTCCGATCTGCTTCTCATTATTTCTCATTGCATGTCTCCGAAGTGGTGACAAACGGACTTAGCTAACAGCCATGCTGAAAACTCCCGCACGAGAACTTGAATCTTTCTCCCCGGGTCCCCTGATTTGCTGCTGACAACCACTGGCATGTGTCCTCATCACACTTCAATGACGGCTGGACTGACTACTGCGCTTCTCCAAGCACCCATCCTCCAAACAGCTCTGCGACTGATGCTAGTTTGTTGCAATTCATCTACGACAAGAGCTGAAGACACTCGGTCAGCCAGCCCAGGCCCAAAGAATGAACAAGAAGATCAGAAACCTGAACCAACTCGAGCAAGCGACGTAGAGATGAACATTGAAAGCTTCAGGCAAGTCATACACATACAGCTTCACATCCGTAAAGTCTTCGCAACGTGGGAGCGGTAGATCTGACATCAAGCCCGCCAGCGCAGATTTCAAAATGATCGCCGCAACGAGTTTCAGCATGATGGACTGTGCCTCAAGCCACGACTGCAGGCATGCAGCTGTGGGCAAGGCTCCGCGCTCCGCTCTGACCTGCAGTCGTTGTCCCATGCTGAAACACCACACGCACGTCCGCTGAAGACCATGGCGGAGGTGCGGCACCACGTAGCCTTCAAGCCAAACCACCGAGAAGAAATGGTTGGATGAAGGCCTCGTGGTGTTCAGGGCAGTTCAGGGGCCTGCACGGTACAGACATCCAAAAAGCTGTTGCAGACATGTGCGTGCGTGCACTGTTCAGTGCAGTAGGCTCCGGCCGGAATCATACCCCAAACTACCTTTATCCATCGCCTATGGGGAGGAAGGCCGGAAGATTCTGCCTCCGCATTCTGAGGAACCCAAAACCCAACTCCACTCCTGTGACTCTGTACTCATGTACTCTGTCTCTGGCTCGGAGTCGCCAAGTGCAGGCCATCAAGCGAAGCTTCTCGTGAAAACGTGCGCTTAATTGGCTACAGCTCCTTCGACTCCATGCTTGGTTTCAGGGTCTAAAGCCCGTTCTGTGGTAACGACCTGAACACCAGACTCTGACCTAGTCTCCGGTTGGAGGATACTAGAAAGGCAAGAAGCTGTGGCACTTGCTAAGTTTGAGCGCCACCTTCATGTCGCAAATTTCATGGATGAAACTCTGATATTTATCTTCAGATAGCACACTCGCGATCTTATTTCGCGAACAAACCAGGTTGGGGCACTTAGAGCTACAATGCTCAGATGACAGTTGTTATCGTTCGGGTTTAGAGTTTCTGGGAGAAGGCACACGACTTGGAGGTGGGTGTCACCGGGAGCATTTTTTGTTTCAAACTCCAGCCATCCCAGACGCTGGAAATTAGACACACGAGTTCGCAGATCCACTCCGGATTAACTGTGAACTGGTGCTCGGCATGAGTCTGTCAGAACCACGGACAGCAACAGCTACTCAGCTGTTCGAACGCTATCGCTTGATGGAAAGAGTGAGCTCGCAAGCTTCAGTCTGGGTCTGGGCGCAGGTCGTGGCCTTTCTCCAAAGCTTCTACGGCTCTTAACCAGCTCCCACATTCTTCCTCCATAACCGTAACAACCATGTCGTGGGTATGTGCCCTTGAGCAAACCCCGAACCACCAACATGTCTGAAACCAAGATATGGCCTGGCAAGTGGATTTGAAACAAGTACTGGGGTCAAAAGGACGAATCGTACCAGCACGCATCACATCATCCAACGATACGTCCAATGGCAATGCATTTTTTTGGCGTCGGCGAGCCTCGTTTGGCTGCAGGTGCAGCACTCGGTCCCAGTAAGCAATCAAGCCAACAAACACACAAAAACAGCGAGTGAACGAGGTTACGTACGTGCTGCAGCGTGCGGACTTGGTCAGCATAAGCTGTTCAGCAGTCAAAAATGGGGTTCCGCTCAGCGAATCAAGCTAAGGTTACAGCGGACCTGCGTCCGACGTCACCCAAGACAACGAGTGGAGTCCAACAAGGCTCTGGCGCCATTCTAGTCCCGTTGGACAACGGACAACTCGTGTCTTGTTTTTCAAACAGTCGAGCACACCAAAGTCCAAAGGTCAGACAAAAGGCAGTGGTGGCAGAGTTAGGAAGGCCAGGAAGCCAGGTTGGCAGACGTCAGTATGACCTCTCCCACCTCCAACAAGGATCGTGATTATTGGCAGGCTGCAGGACGTCCATCTGACGACGAAAAAAAAATCCGGTCATGAAACTGCCTTCGAAAAAAACGTCTTCTATAAGCCAGTTGCAAGCAACCAACAAAAATGTGCTGAGAATGCGCCCAATCTCAGGAGAATGCAGCAATTCCGCAATTTACGTAAATTTTATGTTTCTTGCATGCCGATGTCAGCAGCAATGGATTTTTCGTCAAGCGCCGTGGAGGTTCGTTCATTTCAGAGTTCGACCATCGGCAATCAAAGAACCGCACGGATCCACAAACATTGCGAGTTACCCAGAAGTGTGACAACGTCTTCTCGTGAACATTCGAATCGATTCAGCATGACTTGTTTTTTTTGGCGTGGGCGGGCATCAAAGACAGCAGTTGCTGCACCAAGAACTACAATAAAGTCATTCAGCCAAACAGCTGTACAAGGAAGTTAGACAAAGAAGACTATGCAAATCCAGGTGAGACAGGCTGCGACTTGCAGACTTAGCTGGCAGATATCGTTCAGCCTTTTGGAAAGCACCAGCTGCTACAGCCGCTCAGATGCCCCGCCATCCAGTACTGGACAGTGCACTGGCGCATACACAGGTTGTCCAGCTTCCCATGAGCGTGGTGTTTCACAATGGCCCACACAATGTCCCGAAAAATAGAAGGACCACGTGCGATCCACCCCAGTCACGCCCAGAGAGGTCACTCACGGGCAAGAGGCACTCATGACAGCAGCCGTTGCACCTCCACAGTGATGCAAAATGCTAAGCATGTGCCAAGAGATGATCACATCCACAAGTGCAGCTTCCCATGGGCCTCGCAAGGGAACAAGAGCAGATGAGAAGGTCGTGTCAAGCAGACAGGCCGCCATGGAGAGCACAGCTGCATAAACACAGGCAGGTGCAGCTTGTGGCACATAACCTTCTCATGGGTGGGCTGCGAGATAACCTGGAGAATGTGGGGATCGTTTCTGATCGAGCAGGTGACCCCGTACATGTTGCCTGGGGAATGGTCTGCTGCTACGGCCCGCCTGTACAGCGGAGACGTAGACTCATCTCTGGATCTTATCTGCCATCGAGCCTCTTCCTGTTTGTCGAATAAGGCCTGGGACGAGGCGCTGGTCTTCCCTTCTTAGACGGCATTCTGAGGTACTAATGCTTCTCTGGTGTCGAGGTCTCCAGCTTGGCCGCACACTGGAGCTTTCGTCTTGTGGGGAGGTTTCCCTCCCATCGTGGTGCATTACGGAGAATTAACCTTCATGCAGCGTACCTTGCTGGCTCAGGAGGGCAGGGAACGCGACCATGATACACACATTGCTTCGCCGGGCGCTGGAGCCCAAGGGCAGACGCACAATTCACACCAGGAGCATGCCGCTGCATTGTGCCCGCCGTGCTGAGCCATCGGCTGTGTGCTAGCACCGGAACATAGGCAGAAAATCCTTTGGGGCCCGCGACGGAGTCTCCCAAGAGCAAGCACGCCAGAGGTAGAAGGAAGCGCGCAGCCTCTGCAAGCGGCAGATTTCCGACATCCGCCTTGAGGTGGATAGGGAGTCGGACCAGCGACCGTCGCAGCATGGCCGTAGCCGGGCTCGCCCGAAGGGAGCGCCGGACCTCAAAGGGCTGCATGCGGCCAGGGGCACGAGCGGCGAAATCAAGGCACAAGAGAAGGTGTGCGGACCCTGGGCAGCAAACCACGTGACCAAAGGCGCATCACCACCGCAGGGCCCATAGCCCCACAGGGCTTCAGGATATTGCTCCAAGTCGAAAGCGCGTCCTGCCAAGCTGCTCTACGCTCACCGTACAGAGGGCCATACTTCAGGAGTGGCGACAAAAAAGCAGGAGCCCCTCCGCCGCCCAGACACATGGGCGGCGGGTGGTAAGCCTCCAGCCGGAAACCCCCTCTGAAAGGAACCAGGCTGCTACTGGAAACGGCCTGTGGCTGGAAACCGCAAAGAATCGGAAAGGGCCCCCTGTTTTTTGGCAGTGCCTCTACCAAGGAAAAAGCAACAAGAGGGAAACTGCCGTAGGCAGGAAGAGTCCCCTGATAGGCAAAACCCTATGGCCGGAAACGCCCTCCCGCGGGAAACCGGCTTCCGCCAGACAAAGCCCTCCACAGGACAGCAAATCGAAACCGTTGAGAACACGATGCACAGACGCAATTCTGGCGTCCACGAAAATCACGAAAAAGCAACCAAGCACGTTGAGCAAGCTTGCTACACTTCACGGTCGCAAAACAAACTCACAGCACTCGGACAGTTGTCTCTTTTCTTGCACGTACAGCTAACTTCTGGTTCACGTGTCTTGAGCCAATGACAGTAGTCGCAACACCCACTAAAAGCTCCCAAGCCTTGGAAAAAAGAAAAGGATTGAGGCTTCAGCTCAGACTGCTTCCTACAGGCACCCCCTTTGACAAAGGGGCTTAAGCCCCCCCTCTGTTTGCCTAAACTCCCAAGCGGGTAGGTACTTTCAGCAATGGCATGGCTGTATGCTCACATGTATATATGTCCTTTGCTCGCTGGCTCAAGTGGTTTACCGACTTGACACAAGCTCTCTCTGCGTAGCAGAACAAAACACTTGCTGTCCGTGTGCTGGGCGTTGCCTTAGATCCCACGGGACTTAACTGGTCATACACTCCCGCAGGAGTAATCCTAAAGGGGTGTATCGGCTCACCCTCAAGCCTCCCTAGACCAAAGAGAAGCAGCACAAATCGCGAGAAAGTGAACGAAAGTACCGTGCGAGCTGAAGCTCCCTTAACAAGTAGCCGTTTCAAAGCCCTCTTTCAAGTCACCCTTCCGCCGTTAAGCCCTCGTTTGAAGCCCCCTTAAAGCCCCGCTGAAACCCCCTTTTGTCGCCTCCCTTAAAGCCCCTTTAAGCCCCCCGCTCGAGCCCCCATTTAAGGGGGAGAAGCCCAAAAAGACAAAACCTCAAAACCCATTTTGCGGCCATAGCCATAGCAATAAAAAAGCCTACTCAAAATATCGCTTCTCATCGCACCAGCTGGCATCTCAATCAACAAGCTGGCATCTTGATCAACTGTCGGACCAGCTTGTTTTTAACACTCCTTCAAGCAAAGTAGCAAGTCTAAATGGATCTTCTAAAAGCTCTGCAGGCACTTCCAAAGTTCCCACAGAAAAGAATCCATCCATGCAGTGTGTGTGCCACACGAGACGGAAAAGTATGCACACTTGCCCAAGGCAACATCCGGATCAACCACAAAAACATGCGCAGGATGACTCTCATGGAGTCTCTGCTGCTAGAGGGAAAGTACAGTAAGTTTACTTTGGTGGCAAGTTTAGCGCCTATTGTGTTTTCTCTGCGCAGGTGACACAGATGTCCCAGTCGCATGCATCACACCTGTACGTGTGGTTGCCTGCAGCCAAGACACCGCACAAGTCGCACGTGACATTGAAATAGTCGTA